TGAATGAATGAATGAATGAATGAATGAATGAATGAATGAATGAATGAATGAATGAATGAATGAATGAATGAATGAAATTTGTGGCAGTTATTTTTAAAGGGATCCATGATTAGTTGTAACATTAGACTTTATTTGATAAACATTTATTTTAACTGTAAAATAAAGACTGTAAAAATACTGTAGCTGTTAAGTTTTTATAGTTTTTAAACTAAAAGTTTAAAAATATATAACACGAACGGGGCCATTTTGTTTATACACAAAGCATTCTGGGTAAATGATGATGTGGATAGGTCCTCGGTGCGAGGCTGCTAGCGAGCTATATCCACCCTGAAGGTGAATCTTGGACAATATCTGATGAGTGGCTCTTTTAAATGAAACCAGAGAGCGTTGGCAGAGAGGAGAAGGTAGAAATGACTCAGCCTGTAACTGAAAATATRGATGGAGGACAACAGTTTAGCTTGTTTGTCACGCTAGCACTGAGCTAATACATAAGACAATAGCATCAGCGCTAGCGCAAAGGCTAACAAGCAGCTCTGTTGTCCTCCATCCACATTTTCAGTTACAGGCTGAGTCATTTCTACCTTCTCCTCTCTGTCAACGCTCTCTGGTTTCATTTAAAAGAGCCACTCATCAGATATTGTCCAAGATTCACCTTCAGGGTGGATATAGCTCGCTAGCAGCCTCGCACCGAGGACCTATCCACGTCATCATTTACCCAGAATACTTTGCGTGTAAATAAAATGGCTCCGTCCGTGTTAAAATATATTTTTAAAAATTTACAAAACTAAACAGCCTACAGTATTTTTACAGTCTTTATGTTACAGTTAAAATATATGTTTATCAAATAAAGTCTATGTTACAACCAATCAGAGATCCCTTTAATGATCGGCCATTTTAGACTGAGAACACAAAGGGTGTGACTAAGTTCAATAAAATACATGAAACTGAATGAAAATGATCAACATTGGTTTCATTTGTTTAGATGATTTGTGTGAACAAAATCATGGTGTTTCATGTCTAATAAACCAAAATAAATTGTATTAATATTTATCATTTTCAGAAAGAAAACATCCAAAATGTTTTTGCAGTTTTAAACCTATTTTTTCAAACATTGTATGCAGTGAGAATATTGAGAAAAAAAGTATGATTACATCACATAAAGTAATTGCAGCTGAATAGGCTCAATGGTTCAGTTCATTCAGGGTGTGTTCTCCCCTTATACAGATGAGCAAACATTTGGTTTCAGCTTTCAGCACCTCTCGGTCTGACTGGTGATGGAGTTGAGTGGAGGGTTGGGACAAGGTGCAGTGCTTGTGTTGTTGGAGGAGGAGAAGGACGACGGGGATGAAGACAGCTGGTCATAGCCCGGCAGGTTGTCCTGACTGGGGAGGACATTACAGGTTCGTCTGAGCCGAGGTCTCAGTCTGCCTCGGCTTTCTCCGCCTCCACCGTCCCTCTGGTCCAGCAGTAAAGTGAGAGACTCGGCCATGTGGGTCAGAGTTTGGTCCATATGAGAAATCTAACAAGAGTTGCAGCAGATATTAATAAAGCTAATCATTTACTGCATTTGAAAAAAAAATAAATTAAATCTCACAGCTGCATTACAGATTATCAAAACAGAACTATGTTTCAAGAACATAGAATAATAAACATGCATTTGAACCTAATCTGGCAATTTATAAGCAGCATCACCACAGCCTTTACATTTCCAGGAAAATCATAGTTTGATTCTCTAAAAGAAATGCAATGCATTTGATCACTGTGTCTATATTTTCAWGTGTGTTGTAAACACTTCAGGAGAGAATTGCAGGTGGAAGGTTTTTATTTTTTTATTTTTTGATTCATCTCTAAAAATGAAAGTGAAAAGCTGCTCTTTGTGAGCATCAGAGTTCTTTCTTTGTATCAAAGGCAGGGCCATGTGTGTAACCACACATTTCATATTTCATGACATTAATAAATGTTTGTTAAAATACCCAAATGTATTAAATTAGCATTTCAAAATATTGAACATTTGAAACAAAATGAATACATTGTTCATTTTTAAATTTCTTCTAAAACTTATTTGAAACATGCTTCTGTTTTTGTTTTCCAATGGTACTTTCAGATTTTTTGACTGTTCTGCTACTTTTAGCTTTTAGCCACCATCCTGCTACCTTTAAATGGATCAATGATTAGTTGTAACATTAGACTTTATTTAATAAATATATATATTTAACTGTAAAATAAAGACTAAAATACTGTAGGATGTTCAGTTTTTATCATTTTTAAACTAAAAGTTTAAAAATATTTTACACGGATGGGGCCATTTTATTTACACACAAAGCAGTCTGGGTAAATGATGATGTGGATAGGTCATCGGAGTGAGYGAGCTATATCCACCCTGAAGTTTAATCTTGGACAATATTTGACGATTGGCTCTTTCAAATGAAACCAGAGAGCGTTGACAGAAAGGAGAAGGTAAGTAAGGAAGTAAAGTTTTATTTATATAGCGCCTTTCACAGAAATAAATTCACATGGTGCTGTACATTCAGGGAAGGGGGAGGGGGCAGTTAAGACCATTCATGCAGCAAACACAGTTGCGCTACCTTAACAACAGAAAAACTAAAAACCACACAAGATGAGGAAAAAAAAAGCAAAAACATATATTAAATCAACACTGTGACACACTATGGTGTTTATGAAAAAACCTCTGCATAGGGCAGATTTATTAGCCAGAGGAGTAAGTGAGTTTAAGGGGGCCCGAAGAATCCAGTCCCCTAAACCAGCGCAGCCATAGTCMAGAATATTGATGGTAACTGTTCATTCTGCGTGGCCCTCAGCCTGCTCAGGAAACCAGATCAGACGGGTGTTAGAGGAGGGGGGAAGGTGTGGGGCAGTGCCTTGTCGACGTAATCCATCCAGGAAGAATTTAGTCAACAGCTCAAGGCCATTGTAGGGGAGAGCCAGATTCTGTAATCAGTTGTTTTGGGAACAGAAGAGGGTAGAAARGACTCAGCCTGCAACTGAAAATATGGATGGATGACCTCAGTTTAGCTCAATAGTTTGTTGCGCTAGCGCCGAGCTAATATATATAAGGCAACATAGGGTCAGCGCTAGTGTGAAGACTAACGGGCTAAGCTGAGTTTCTTCTTCCATGAAGCAGCTCTGTTGTCCTCCATCCATATTTTCAGTTACAGGCTGAGTCATTTCTACCTTCTCCTCTCTGTCAACGCTCTCTGGTTTTATTTAAAAGAGACGATCGTCAGATATTGTCCAAGATTAACTTTCAGGGTGGACATTGCTCACTCACACCGATGACCTATCCACGTCATCATTTACCCAGAATGCTTTGTGTGTAAATAAAATGGCTCAGTCCGTGTTAAAATAGATTTTTAAAAATTTACTTAAGTAAACAGCCTACAGTATTTTTACAGTCTTTATTTTACAATTAAATATGGTATGTTTATCAAATAAAGTCTAATGTTACAACTAATCGTGGATCCCTTTAACTAAAATTCTGCCACTTGCATCTTTCAGCTACCATCTAGCTCTTACATTTTAGCGCAGTCTTGTTAACTTTAGCTATTGTTTTGCTGATGTTAGTTTTAGCATCTGTTTAGTATCATAGATCTGCTAACCTTAGCATCTGTTTTGTTCATTTTAGCTTTAATCATGTTTTGCTGATTTTATCGTTGGCATCTGGTTTGACAATTTTAGCTAAATTTCAGCAATTTTTAGCTACTGTCCTGCTGGATTTAGCTTCAAGCTACTGTTTTTTTTCTGTTTTCAGCTTGTGTTCTGCAAATTTTAGCTACATTATATTAATTTTCGACTTCACCACTCAGTTTCAACTTCTGCAGCAATTTCAGCAAAGCCATTCAACACTTAGCGTTTACTTTGCATTTGTGCACAAAATACAGTCTGTCTACAATTGTTTTAAATCKAAACAAAATCTGTAGGACACTTAGAATTTAGGAAGATTTACAGATTTGGTTTTGCAAATAGTGCACAAGTCCCACCTTTTCCTCCATCCTGTCGAGTCTTGATCCAATTGAGTTGTTTCCTTTGTCTCTGGCTCGGTCTTCAGAGGTTGACATTAAATATGCAAACAATAAAACCAGAGGGTCAGGTCTGTGGTTTGATTCAAAATTAAAAAACAAGTATTCTGAGTGCAAAGGGAAGTAAATTATTACCTGAACCTGTCTGGAACAAACTCATCTTCCCTAAAGACTGGTCTAGTCTGAGAGAAATGATCAGAAGCTCAAGTTAGAGGAAAAAATATATATCTCTACATACTCTCTTATTCAACCTCTGTTTAGTGTTCAGTGTTGTTTTGGGGGAATTGTGTATATGCGTCTGTTTTAGTCCCGTTGGCAAAAAGCAGAACATACAATATGAGCACCATGCATTACTCAGAGGATATAACTCATATAAGGTTATTTTTACTTGAAAAATAATAATTATTTACCTTCTCTGTAGCTCCTTGATGCGCACCATGAGGTCGAGGTGACCCTGAGAGTATTGTTCAATCACGTCTCGCACCTCATATGGCTTACGGGCTTGCTAAAACAGAGGAAACAAAATGCTTCAGATGGTTAAGTGACCAAAGCCTAAAACTGTTCGTACATGTTTGTTTTTGTTCAGAGAACTTTCATTTTTCAGAGGATTTTTTGATCTTGTTCGGTTGTGGGTTTCCAACTCCCTAATCAGCGAGGCTGAGCACGGCATGCGTAGGGAGGTTTAAAGCCCACACACAAGTATATTAGTTCTGCACACGCTGCAGTTTGTAACTATCAGTTTTATTTTAATTGACCAATGTGAGGGAAACTCTGCAATGATGTTTTAGAGCTCTGTCCTGCGTAGTTTCTTGTGATTACCCCCCGAAAAATTCTGCTGGTTGATGTGTGGCTGTGATGAGAAACTGTACATCCTGAAGACACAACCCAGCTCTCACATAGTTGTACTCATGAAAGATGGAACATCCCCATAAGCAAGTTTAAGTAAACTGCTTCACCCCTCTCTTTGTATGCGACATAGCAACTGATTCAATAGGGCATTTGCTACAAAAAAATACATTAATTTAGTTTAAAAAGGTGCAACATTTACACAATCCTACATTGTGGACATTTTTATGTCAAGCTTACATGTGCTTGTCAGAAAATTGTAATTTACTATCCTGGTATGAAACCTTATGAGCCAGTGTCAATACTGAATTGGAAAAGATGTGTTGTAAGATACTGATTTTAATTTGTTTTATCAGCCTCCACTGTAGCTTTCTACTGACTCTAGTGTCTTTTTTTTCTTGTAAAATGTCAAACTCTACATTGAAGATGCCTCAAGATTAGTCATAGAAATTATTAGATTAATTTCAAGGCAGCCTTGGGATTTAAATGTTTGAATAAGAGCATTCAATGCCAGTCTAAGCCAAACAATGTTTTGAGTGTGAGTAAGCTACGTGAGACTGAAAATACAGTAGCTCTTCCAATTTTCCAATTCTATTTTTCTACCCTTTTTTGTTTCTACTATGTTCCCTATGTGTTCGTTTAGAAACTTTGCCATAAAAGTTGTGAAAAATATTTTAACCATTAATTTAGCTTCTTTATGCACTTTTCTAATTCATAGCCATTCAGAGCTGATGCCTATTTCGAACAGTCCCTAGGCAAGTTTAATTGTGTGCTAAAAATGGTAATGTAATATAATGTAAGATATAAGTTATGTAATACTAGTTGTGGAGTTCCTCAGTGTTCTGTGTTTGGACCAAAATTGTTTGTTTTGTACATGCRTGATTTGGTTAATGTGTCATGGCTTTTAAAATTCAATTTTTTTATTCTGGTCAAGATACTGAACAGATATTGGAGGTAATAGAGTTCAACGTAAATTATCATTGAACTAATGAGGTTCCATTTAGAGTTGATGGGATTGAGATTCATAGAGATATTGAAGTGAAGTTTTCAGAAGTCGTCATTGATGAAAAGTTGACATGGATATCCCACATAAATGAAGACTAAAAGTAGCTAAACCCAATGCATTGCTGCAAAAAAGTGTAAGAGTTATTGTATGGCAACACTCTGTATTTATTGTATATTGTCATGGTTGTGATGGACTTGCGACCTGTCCAGGGTGTACCCCGCCCCTCGCACTGTGACTGCTGGATATGGGCACCAGTGACCCACGCGACCCTAAAAAGGAAGAAGCGTGTACAGAAAATGGATGGATGGATGGATGGATGTCATGGTTGTTCCACATTTAATCTAAAGTATTAAAGTCTGGGGAAAAGCATGTAAAACGACTACAAACCCTATTTTTGTTTGCCAAAAAAACTGAAATAATTCTTACTAAAATATTGCAATCACCCATCAAGTACATTATTTCATTAGTTAAAAGTACCGATATTGCATGATTTTGTTGATTATATCTTACAATGTATAAGGCCTATAAAAGCATCTTACTTTGAAACATCCAATCAAAATTTGTTAAGAGGGTTGCTATAACCTTTAAAAAATGAGATTTGTGTAAAACCGCAATTTCAAACCAGTTTGAAGAAAATAATTACTTCAATTTGAGGAATATTTCTGTGAAATGTTATTCAGATTGATGTCAAAACTGCTCAGAAAAAAGTATGTTCAGGGGAATTAAAAAGGCTAGGTTGTTGAAGAAATATGATATGTAATACATGTGTGGGACATGTATTGTTGTTTGGGAAGGATCTGATATTGTTTTTTGTTAATATTTTCTTTTCTACGGGCTAAATTTTGTAGCCCCTCTGACAATGGTGTGGTTGCAGCCAGATGTCATCAGCACATACTACCAAGTGCTGCTCATTGTGCAAGATATTTGCTTAAGTATTTGGAGTATATCCCTGTTTGTCTCATGTACCAGGAGACTCCTTTTATTGAAACTTACAAAATGCGCAGTATTAATGGGTGTATAATACAAAAAGTTTTAACCCCAAAATGCATCCATTAAGTTGAGGATTTAATATATATCTTTTTATTTTAAAATGTCAATAGTTCCTCATATATAACTGAAAATGTGTCTCGGGGGATTTTCCCAACGTTGCACGTAGGTAAGCATCAAGGGCATACATTTAGGCTTACCATTAGGGTGGTGGTGGGTGGGGGAATGCTCTCTGCCTATTTATTTTTTAAATCATTTACTTTTGTAAAATAATTCATTCAACAGTTTTGAAATCACGAGAGTTGCAGCTGTTTACTTAACCAGTTAATTTATATTATGTTAAAGCAAATTATGTAAATTCGATGGGTGGGAGTGGGTATATTGACTGGATTAAATTATTGTGGGGGTTATAACCCCTGTAACCCTTCTGCAAATTGCACCCATTGTAAGCATATAACCAACAGTAGATGACTCAGAGGATAAAAAGTTTTTTTTTCTTATGAACCAAAGAGATAAAAAGAAGACATAGACATCAGTTGCAATATCTCATGCTCAACAGGACCAGGGAAACTCCTCAAATCTGTCCATCTTTCTAATTGAATTGAGCCAGACCATTTTCAGCAACAGCCAAGAAGCTCAAGCTACTGCTCTGCAGCCTTTGATTCTTCACAGCCACAAACACGTTCCCATAATAATAATATCTTTCCCCACCAGAAGGTACACCACATGAGGGATGAAAAATCCTGGTCTGTATGAAATTAGAGGTAACATTATACACGAGGATCCAATTTATTATGCTTTTTGAGCTCAAGAAAAGGGGGTCACATAATACATGAATTGCATTATACTACATGCATAAATATGGTAATCGTTGACTGCACACTGACAACTGATTACTTTTGAAGTCAACTCAATTCAAGCTGGCCACCACAACAAATCAACTTTAGCCAACACAAAAATGGCCACAACTCAGTCAGTTTTTATAGATACTGATGTGGTAATAAATGAGTGCCATTCATAACATACAGCATACTCTAATAGATAACACATCTCACAAGATCTTGCATTTTGTTTTGTTTAAAACTCTGGCAATAAAAATGACAATAGATGTACATTCCTTCAAGGAGTGCTTAATTAGCTCAACGTTGACAAAGTTTAAAATGCTTATTGGGAGAATCTTATTTAATATTACCTGGAAATTTCTCTTGGCCACAAAATAACGCATTCTTTGAATAACACGGATGGCTTTCCGATGCGACTCTGTTAGTCTGTGAAAAAAAGAAAAAAGTTTCACTTTAAGTTTCACTTGTTATTTTTAATTTCCCCATATGGTATTTCAACAGATGCATCAGCTCAACTCAAAAGCAGATGACCTTGTACAAAACATCAAATTAGAAGTTAGTCGTCTTCTAATGTGGCTCTATTATTATTGTTTCTCCATTGAAACAGAGAGTGAAACAAAGGACAGATGGATGACATAGCCTTTATACCAAACTCATCAGTTTAGAGGGAAAATATTAAGCATGCTTGTGATTACTGCTCAGCCCACATCAAAGCTTCTCCCTCACGGCTCAGTTTCTTTTGAGTTACCAAGGTGATGAGTAGTGAGAACAAAGGCGGGTGAGACGTAGTAAAAAAAAGAGTAATTGTGAGCTAGTATGCCTATATTATTAGGTTGTGAGAATTATTGAATAGCTGTTACTTATCAGGATCCATTACTCTGAAAAAAAAAACACTGAAGGTGCACGTGAGGTGGGAGAGGAGGAGTGCATGTTTTGGTGAAAGGAGAAATCTCTGTATGTGTCTCATTATGAAACTCTCAAAGGCAGAGCAATAGGCTGATTTGCAAAAAGGCTATCATAACATTTGGTCAAATTAGCACAATGAAATGTCAATAATGTGCTTTCTGAGCTGTTATGGAAATCCATTTTCATAACTAAAAGAATATGGGTTAGTGATATAACCAGAGACCAGACAGTGAGGCAAATGTGTCTTAATGCAATAGGCAGATGATGACATGTTCTTAAAGTAGAATGTAAACACAGAAGACATCTCCTCTACCATTAACGGACATTGTGGTGGGAACCTATTCAGCAAACATTAAAGGATACACTCTTTAAAGTCATAGTTCACCATTTTATACACAGGCCTTGGATAATAGTCTGTCTGTCTAACATTAATTATGTGATGTGTTATCACATTTCAGTGYCCAATACCTTGGCAGCTGAGACATCAGAGCACCAAGTATGTGTAAAAAGGGGGTAGAAGTCTTCATCCAGGCAAGGTTAATGGATAGTCAATAGACATATTATCACAACATACCTATTTATTTAAATGTGAGCAAAACAAACTCCTAAAAAAATAATAATACAAATTTATTGTCAACTAATCAGTATTTTCACAAGCTTTTGTTTTGCAATACTCTTTGAATCATTTTTAAATCTAGTTAAAGTTTTACATCATTATCATGAATCAAATGTTTTTAAGCATTGTTTCTAATTTGTTAACAGAAACTTATGCCATGGCATGAAAAAGTTTGGGAGCCCCAGCTTTAGAGATCACTCATGAGTTTCATTTTCAATTACATGGACTTCTAGAATMCTCAGTTCTAATGCTAATACTGACCTTTTTTAATTAACACTTAACAAGAAAGTTAGAAAGCACATTTTCTTATTTTTATTCTTTAGARGTTTGTATGGTCACACCCAAATTACAATCATATCATTTTTTTTCAAGTAACCTGCAGTTACTATCACAACTGATGTAGTTTAYTAACACATAATTATCTATCGTCACACACTGAAAATTTGCATCCATGAAAATGCCATTTGCAGATGAAGCTAGTGGAAATTTTTTTTAATGATATAGGAAAAATTAGTTGCTTACAAACACTGTTTTTTTCCTTGTTAAATTCAACTGACTGTTTTTTAGCATCTGCAGAACAAGTACCAATTTTATTACAGTGCCTCTACTTGCAGCAAAGCATGGATCTCAAAATACCACAAATACTGTATAAAAGGACCCATCTTGCAATGCTGTTAACAATTATTTTTTCTTCTTCTTTTTTTACTACACGGTTTTGCAGGAAGCTACAGTAATTGTTCAGAATTTAAAAATAGTGGCTCCAATACTTACCTGATCAAACAGACTAAAAACAGATGAATCCTGAATTTCTAAGGAAGGTGTTTAGGATGTTTTTGTGTAGCACACTAACTACTGTATACCTACACTAGTCTTATCAAAGAAAGATTTGTATTTTATGTTTCTAAAAGCCCATCCATCCATCCATCCATCCATCCATCCATCCATCCATCCATCCATCCATCCATCCATCCATCCATCCATCCATCCATCCATCCATCCCTCTTTTTAGTCTATAGGAGGAAACCTGAGAACCAGAGAAAACCCACATATACAAAGGGAGAACATGCAAACTTTTTGCTTAGTATCTAGTCATCCTTTTTTGTCACTTGTTGCAGTAGATAGTAGGTAGATTCACTGTCTGTCCATCTCCCCTACTTRAAGGTGTCATGACGGCAGGTGTTTATAACTGCAGACTAACGAGCAGATCTAATCTGAGGCAGGTGTCCATTTAGGGGAAGGAAATTGACTGGGTGTATCCTTATTTTCTACCTCCATTTTGAGTGATTCCATACCTTTTTTTCTTTAGAACTGAGTGATTCCATATTTTTTCCCTGTGCTTGGTCAATAAGTAACATTCACTGACTTCCACAATGCTTTCTCTTCATTTCTTTGAGTGTTCCTGAAAGCTAACAAGTTGCACTTTGGAATGATCTTATTATTGTATCATGTTTCTGATCTGAGTTTGTTTTACWGAATGAAATGTCTGAATGAGTGCTCATCCAAGACTGGTGATTCCATACTTTTTGCCAGGGGTTGAATTAACCATGGACACCAAMCCAAAGGCCCTATGTGGTGTGTCAATAGCTGRCGCGAGGTGGTTACCAGATGCATCAAAACCAGAGGCACARGGAACCTGGACAAGTGTCAATATGTGATGAGTTGGGAGTGAGAAAGTGTTAGACTGTCATCACGTACTGGCCACCCTGATCATTTGAGTCAGCTGTTTTATATATATATATATTTTTTTATTTTAAGTATAGTTTCCTCAAATGATTGATGATTGCTGAAGATTATTTTATGTGGGTCAAGGCCACCCTTGGCCACCCAGTGGCTCCGTCATTGTGCATGGTGGTTGCTAAAATTGCTACCTCCGTTCGTCAGAGTCTGTCACTCTGCGCCACCTCTGACTAAAACAAACAAGCAAACAAAAACTACCTCTGTTTTATATACACAGTGTATCTTCCACCCACCTGAATACCTTGTACCAAAATACATTAAGGTTTACTTGCATTCCCTGTTCAATTCCAGTCCAGAGAAGACACTCATCACAAAATCTACAAGTATTCACTATTCAAATCCCTCAGCCACGTGAGACATTGTCATACTTCTTGTTTTTGCAAGACTTTCTCGTCTTTCCCACTTCCTYACAAAGGCAGCCATTAATGTAAAAAAGTGAAAAAAAAAGTTTAACTTTATTAATTGTATTTAAAACACAGCTAAATAATTCAGTATGGTCTAAACTTAATTATGAGAAATAAAACATAATCCTATGAAGAAAATGTTTAAATCTGTTAAACTGAGTGAAAATGGAGTTTCAGTTATCGGACAGGAAAAATGAACACTGAGGTCAAGAGGAAACAGTATTGATCTATATCAGTATTGATCCATGAGACTTTGCTGCCCAAGTGTACGTCAAATTTTCTCCATGTGCACGGGCTAAAAAAATAATAAATAAAAGAAAAGAAAAAATGTAAAAGAAAAAAAAAAGAAAAGAAGGCACTTTTTTAAAAGTGAATACCTTTTATTTTTTTAATTTCTTATGATTAAAAAAGCAGCCATTGTGGCTAATGTTTTTTTCTCTCATCATTTTAGGACTTTCCTTTTGGTTTTACTAGAAGTGAAGGTTTCGTTTAAGTGTTATAACTTTATTGAAACTCTACAGTCCAATTATTTTCAATTTACTATGATGGTAATATGAGTTCAGCCCTTTAAAATATTAAAAAATGTACATTTGTCTTATATAAAATCCTGCAAGACTTGTAAAAATAGCTTTAATTTTTTAATTCTTGTATTCAATAGCATAGGTTTTTATTTATTTATTTATTTATTTATTTATTTATTTATTTATTTATTTATTTATTTATTTATTTATTTATTTATATGCTTGTTTGTTTGTTTATTGTATTTCATCACAATCCGAACTAGCTGAAGAAAGACTAAAAGCAGAATTTGTTTCATSAAATTCCATCATTTTGAATACAAGCAAGACGTCTCTCATAATAGTTCAATTTAGCAAGGGATTTGATTTGGCGTGGCTCTCTGAGAACAGCTGGTTCTGTATTTTTGGAGCCAGCGGAGCAGAGTTGTCTTGCCAACAACAGTGTTGTATGCAGTTCTCACTCTGCATCATTACGCTGCCGTTTAGAAAGCAAGTCCCACGGGTCAGAACTGTCGCTCCATTTGTTTCACTTATTGTGCACTTACATTACAGTGCAGTTACTTAACTCTCATTTCCTCATATCAGTCGCAGTCTGTGCAAGCGCCTCTGCAAGCACAAGTTATTCTCCCTAATAGAGAATCATGAGCCCTCTGGGTCTGGCATATTACAAAGGTTAATTAGAAATAGCAAAAAAAAAAAAAAAAGGACAGAAAACATGCATAACTTCTTCTTAAAAAGGAACTCACACATAAACATAGCGACTAATGCTGTGTATGTGTCTCATGCAACAGCATTGCAATGCGATGGTGGTGAACTCACTGTGACACGGAGCTGGCAGGAGCCAGTTCACTCTCCCGCTCTGACTCCAGCTCCAGGTCGTCTGTGTAGCTGCTGTTCCTCTGGAGCGGGGTGGGGGGCTGCGAATCCAAAAGGCCGGGGCTTCTTTTCACTGCACAGTCTGACACAATCACAGTCATTTGCATTTAGTCAAAACAACACAAGCAGGGAAATTTGCTCCAGCATATAAACAATGGCTTCCACCTAGACTTYGCTGCTTGCTGCTGAAAGTGAAAGGTGATGGCGGACTTTGTGTGTTATTGTATCTGTTTGTTAYAAAATTAACTCATGGACCACTGGACAATCTCTAGATGTACATGTACATCTAGAACTGATAAAGTTTAAAAGTCAACGTGATTCAAGATGCCAATTGAAGTTAGAAAACATAAACAATGGCTGTCAGTTGTTCAGATATTTTGCCAAAATGTGTGTTGCTTGTAGCTGAAATGAATTCACAACACATACTTCAAGTGTTACTTGTTGTGCAAGCTAAATGTTTTATACACCACTAAATGAAATTTGATGAAACATTTAGAGTTATCACTGGATCTACACTATATTTACAATTGATAAACAGTGGGAGTTGATCCAATTGGAGATAGCCCCCACGACTGATTGACCTTAACCAACACAAAAAATGGCTATGACTCAATTTTACAGACATTGAGCTAACATTTGATGCAGTAGTAGCCTGTAGTCATCCACAACAAATTCGGTACTTTGAATGTGACATCTTGTAATACTAACTGCACAAGATAGCACTTTTAATTTTTTTTTTTTTTTTTGCCTAAAGTCAGGAACCACGGCATAAACACATTGATTGCTTAGGTTCATGAAAACAGTTAGATTACATTTTGAAATCCCACCACTGTCCAATGCAATAAAGGCTACATATTAATTGTCAAATCCACCATAAACAAAAGTACATACAATCACGCACACGCACAAGATTGACTTTTCATGAAGGCCATCATGTGCAAATTATCTAAAACCGCTGCTTTCAAGCTCTGGCTTTGTTAAGAGCAACCACAATGTCTTCTACATCCAAAGACCTTTGAACATTCTGCTCAATACATAATGTATAAGTACCCAACGTATTCTCACTCCCGACTCGTCGACATATTGACGCTTGGTCAGGTAGCCTTTTGCATACAATTTTGACGCGTTGGGCACCCCCCCCC